GGTTCTTCCGTTTATGTTTTGGATGAGGGAACAATTTTGTAACTACATAGACGCTCTGAAAAAGATGATTTTGCATAATTTGTGTGCTTAAAAAAACCCTATAATTTCCCCTTCGGACCACGTACTGTCAAACATAATAAATCTACCACCAGAGTTTGGCAGACTATGCTCCATTGTTTACATGACCTAGTACTGCTTTACTGCCTAATTTATAGCTCGGCGGAATAGTGGAAAGAATAGAGGAAAGTGTGTGACAAATGCTGTGACAAACTTTTTCTGGCACCACATCCCTCTCCTTCTTCTGTGAGATCAGAGCACACACAAAGCTGATGTAGAAGTGTTCAGAGTTTCTACCCATCAATAATAATAATGTATCGGTTTTGGAAACTCAGAGACGCTTCCATTGTAACTGACCATTGTAGCAGTTGAGGTAAAGTTTGCAATGACGAGCAGTAGGTGCGCAGAAAAAGATGATAGTTTGACCTTTAATTCTGCTTAGAGTAACACAATCTGCAACCTTCTACACAATATGTGCTGAGCTCTGCGGTAAAGCGTGACGCCCTGATACAAAGTACTAGTTTGTCCTTATTCATAAAAGTAAAACACTAGACTCTTGCTTGTTTGTGAAAAGAATGTGAGTTACTTTTTGTCCACCTCTTTTTACTGATGAATCCACACACAACAAAATAAAATAATTCATGTTCAGAAGAATACAGCAAATACTGAAAGCTGTTAATTGAACTTGAGTCAGACTTAAGTCAGACTTGGTAATGTGGCTTATTTTTTTGATGCTTTTTATACAAATTAGTAAAATATTAAAACATTCAGACAACAACATGCAGTCTTCAGCATATTAGAAAACATAATATTTTGCAAACTTGTGAGGAAGAAACTTGAGTCACTGTTTGACGTTTTTAGTTGAGAGCTGATTGGCTGAGTGAAGGAAGTGCTCAATTTTGCAATTTGGATAGATAAATGGATTTTATTACATAGTTATTGTTTATGGTTTGAAGAAGGTACCCCAGACAACACAAATGTTAAACTGTATTGTTTGAACTTGAAAGAAGTCAAAGCAGAAAACTTGACATGGAAAATGAATTATTGTATTGTAATTGTTTGTATTTGTAGTTTTGTATTGTGTACCGTTTGTACCTTCAGTTTAGTTATGTAATTATAACGGATTGTTGAATAAGTCAATCTTATGGCTAGTCACTACATAATTCTGCTGTGCTTTAATGGGATTGTTTTGATAATGGGTAATTGTACCAGTGGCAAAGTAGTTTAAATATGATTGCGTTTTTGACACATTTTCCATCAGAGCGTTTTAGTCACCTCTGCGATTGGCAGGTATGTTTCAACTCAAAATTATTAATGATCAACAGTTTTTGACGGAGTCTCCTGAGCCTTTATGTTTGTATCTCGCAGATAGAAAGTGAGATTGATGCAGTGCCGCCATGATGCAACCTAGATTCTCTCACTTTCCCTTTTTGAAGCCGGGGCAGGTTGGGGTTTGTCTACGATGAGGAAATAGAAGCGTTTGTATTGATGACAAAGCTGGGCTCAGTTTCACAGGAGGCACGTCAGCGAGTGCTGCTGAACCACACTACTATCTGGATGTAAAGGAGGCCTTTGTATCTGTTCGTTCAATGAAGTCAACGTCAAAAACAAAGCATTTTTAGGAAAAATTCTACAGTAAAGAGAAAAAGTATCCTTGTTCATGCAGCTTTCAGTCACATTTTTTTATTTGTGAGTTTTACAACCCACCTCTACACCTTCTCCACTGACTCCCACTGATGACTGCTGTCGTTGTGTCCTTGGGCAAGACACTTCACCCCACTTTGCCCAAAGCCCCCGCTGAAAGATCAAGGCTCTGCTCACACTCAGAGAGCAGCCGTCCTCCTGTGGACTCACCACCTGCAGAGGGTCAGTGGGGGGCTGGTGCTATGAGACTTGGGTGACATCTCTGATTGCCACCCCCCTGACCCAGAAATGGATTAAAGGGTAGAAAATGGATGGATGGATGGAGTTTTACAACTAAGTAGAGATAGGACAACGCAATAGCACAAAATCCTTACAATTTAAAAATAAAAATATATAAACTGTACTTAAAGCTTGGTTATCCAACCTGCTTATTTCATAAATAATATATGCTCTTTGGCCTAACAGAATCTATTTTGTAAAAGTCTCAGACCACAGCATGTTGTCTTTATCTTATTAGAAAACAGAATCATTTATGGGATTTTTTTTTTTTTTAAAGTTAATAAATCTGTCATCAGATGAACAAAATCTAAAACACAGTACTGTACTGTTTTAATATCTTAATATAATTTAATAATATATATATTAACGGCTTATTTCTCGAGCACGAGGTCTGTATGGGGAAATATCAGATATTTTTAATTTATGCAAATATCGATCTCCGACTTGGTTTTCCTAACCGTGTTTTTAGCTTTCTGGTCTGCAACAAAGTTGTCAATCTCATCTTATCTGTTAGTTATTTTTTCTTCGTTATTTTCTGTAATTTCTTCCACTGGCTCGTCAAACTCGTCCGGATAATAGAATTCACTGGGAGAATGCTCCCAGTTGTCGCCCATTATTTATTTTTTACCGAGGAAACTCAGGAAAGAAATCAATTGTGATACGCGCTGCGGACTGATTGTCATGGTAACGGTCCGAGGAAAGATATCAAATGTGATACGCGCTGTTCAGACCAATTGTCATGGTAACGGTCTGAGATGGGAAAATATCAGACCGGTCTTCAGCCAATCAGAGCGCGCGTACGGTCCACGTCATATAATAAATAAAAAATAAATAAATTATTCTCACCTTTGGCCCTCCGCGGGCGGTTACCCCTCTCTAAGCTCGGGTCCTCTACCAGAGGCCTGGGAGCTTGAGGGTTCTGCGCAGTATCTTTGCTGTTCCTAGCACTGCACATTTCTGGACCAAGATGTCCGAGGTTGTTCCAGGGATATATATAATATAATTAAAATAAATAAATATATATATATATATATATTAGTTTTTATTTTTTTTATTTTTTCAATTTAATGTTGCAAAACATTAGACATGTCATTTATACATTTAATATATAAACAGCATTTACAACGTGTCCATGGTAACCGATGACTGTCATGTGGGCAGTGTGACTCAGTAAGGACCGACCAAGGGGGAGCACGATCCAGGTTTCCCTCCTGCTGCTCCAACTGGTCTTCCCCACATTACTTACACAACGCACACACACACACCAACGCAATCCCACACATGCACATATACATCCACCTAAACCTACAGAAATGCGCACACACCTACACGCACACACACACATACACACATAGTATGAAGAGATTAGCACCACAGCTGCTCTTGAGAGAACACAGTAATCCCCCCAGAGCCAGGGAATGCCCTCCACACAAGCACTGCCCCAAACAATGACTAATGGCGACGATACCAACAGTATCACAATATCATCTGTTGATGGAAGGTTTCACTGATTAAAACATGCATTTGTTTTTCACTATTTTTCTGTGGGGAGTTTGAATCATGTGGTGCTGCTGTGGTCGCTCAGTGGAGTCTCTGCATGTCACAAAAAAACATTATAATAATATATTTTACACAAACATTGACAATATGAATATCACGTTTTAAATAGCCTCCATTGTGCATTTAAAAACAATAAGCCTTTGATGTGTATATTGTTCCCAATGGGGGCAGGTCCCGGTGTTACGTCGGTTTGCATTGCCTTGTCGAGATACATCATGAAGAGCAGAGGCAGTGGAATGCAAACCTGCGCATGCGCTTCTCACGCCGGCTAAAGCAAACCAAGATGGCAGACAGTCTGTGAATTGCTTCAAAAGTTTAAATACGAACAAATTAGGACACGGATGTTACTTTTTGTGCAATTCGTGTTGATGGTTCCATGTTATATGTGGGTTATAAGAGTCAAAGTTTTGCGTAAAGTTTGGTTTAAGTAGTCAACTTCTGTCGAACCGCACTGCTGCTGTGGGATAGCAGTACCTTTCTTGTCGAGTTGAACCGCCGCATACGTCATTTAATTGACGTAGACCAATGACGCGTCCTGTGGCCAACTCGACAGATGTTAGCTTACAACTTAGATTTTGTTTATTATTTCCATTATCAACCTGACCATTGTCACCATTTGTAAGCCATCAGCTGTCATAGTAGTTGAGTTCATTCTGTATTTTGATATTGAGGACATTGCCAGACCTTCCAATGTATGTGCTCTTCTACACAGCTCCCAAAATTGGTCCCATTAACTCTTAAACCGTATGCATTGAATAAATTAAAGTGAGCAAAGCTGTATGTATAAGTTATAATAATAATACATTTTATTTATATGGCACTTTATTGCCTCTTTTATGCATATAGGGTTCATGACAATACCCAGCCCTAGAGGGATAGGAGCAAAGGATGTGGAATGCAATGGGATACATTATTTTAGATCATTTTTGCAACATTATGATCAATTGGTGAAAATTATAGCTGCATGTCTTCTTTAAGCTGTTTTTGGCCAAAATGTGGTTTGCAACAAACATAATATAAAACACAATGACAAGGATTTCAATGAGATCTCGAGCTACAAAATCCCACAAGAATGTGTAATCATGTGAAACCTAATATCTAGGATCTCTTTCCAGTGCCGTAAACTTTGACTTGATGCACATTTTGAATAGTAGCAGCCCCAAAAAGCTGATGTGATGGATCGTGTATTGTGTAAAAATTGTGCTTAACGCTTTCAATAAAATATTTCTTATGATAAACACTAAAACTCAGACAGTGACATTTTGCACATATCGTCAATGCACCCAGTCTCATCTCAGAAAATCTTGTACCATCGCCAAAAGATGACCTCATTATATACTATAGTTCAAAACAGAGAGAGAAAAGCCAGTGCAACAATGCGAAGGCTTTGCATGTTTGATGGAGACACATTAAACAGTCTGCCATAGCCTCTCATCTCACTTTTCTTTTTCCTCTCACACATGCGCACACTCTCCTCCCTTGCTCCCTCCCTCTCAGCTGACTCCAGCAGCAGCAGCAGAGAGAGGCAGGAGGCAGGGCAGGTTCTTCCCACTCGGCTGTACGCATCTCCTGCCCCGCTGGTGTGATTTTTTTTTTCCTTTCTTAATTTACCTCCACCCATGGCTGCCGGTTTACCAGCTCCCCCTCTGCAGTCACGAGCTACCTGCGGCGAGAATATCCCAGCATGGCAGCAAGCGAGTGAGACCCGACAATGGCTACCGGACAGCGCAGTTCGTCTTGATGAGGGGTTTCAAGATTAGCTGGTAAGGGCTGGCTTTAAAGGACTGGCAGTGGTGGGTGGCACGTTCTGTGTATATTGTAGGGATGTGAACATTTCCCACGCTTTTGTCATCATGAGTAAAAATACCATGATATGGCAGTGTATCTCACAATGCTTCTTAAAGGGGGCACTAACTTTCCTGATGGAGGTCCTGCTTTTTTGCTTGGGTCCATCTAAATGTTGCAGTTTTGCTGTTCCGCAGAATGGCATTACATTTCACACATACAGTACATTGGAGACAGGCATGGGAATTCACTTGGCTAAGTTACAAGTCGCATTTGTGGAGAGGAGTATAGTCGACCAAATGTAATAATTCAGGTTTTTAAGCAGTAAAAGTAGCTGTCAGAAATATCAGCAGGTGGTGGACCCCAAAGGAAAAAGTTGTGCAATTTATCTTTAACTATAAAAATGACTGATTTTTGCTTAATTTTATGTTCTCTACAACTCGACAGATAATTAGCAGAAACAAACTATTTCAGATTATTGATTTGGTAATTGCGCCATGGTAGACGTATATTGTAACCAAAAAGGATCCCCTGTGGGTTGTAGGGTCTTTGTCATAAGTACAATGTTGTATTCTGGAATCACACTCTAGCTTAGGACAGGTGGTCGTCCCATCTCTAGTACATTAGAGAGCTGTAATAAACTAAAGGCAATCTTGACTAAAGACATGGGCTGTACAACTGACCATTAATCTTCTTATAGCATCATATAGTGTGGCCTAATGATACAAATCTATGCAGAAAAGATGCAATGATAACTATGCATACAGAAAAGTATTATTATTATTATTATGATGATTATTATTATTATCGAAAATACAAATTAACACTGGGAGTTAAACTCAAGATTACCAACAAAAACTGACCAACTAACTTGAATTATTTGTAACTTTCCTCCCCTTGTCTGAAATCTTTTAGTTTTAGTCAACTGCATGGTTGTTCATGGTCTTAATTAGGGCACTTCCAAATTGTAAGTTATAATATCTACATTATAATGTATTTGATTCACTATTCTGTATACTTTTTAAACCCAAAATCTTTTTTTTTTTTTAAATGTTTAATGATAGATGGGAGTGTTTTTAATCATAATAACGTAAAAGTAAAGTATTACAAAAAAATAACAATATAGTGGTTAACATGTTGACCATTATATTAGTGATATTAAATAAGAATATAACTTGTTGGATAAGAACTTATGTGAAACTCCATCCATCCATCCATCCATTTTCTAATTTCTACCCTTTAATCCATTTCTGGGTCAGGGGGGTGGCAATCAGAGATGCCATCCAAGTCTCATAGCACCAGCCCCTCACTGACCCTCTGCAGGTGGTGAGTCCACAGGAGGACGGCTGCTCTCTGAGTGTGAGCATAGCCTTGATCTTTCAGTGGGGGCTTTGGGCAAAGTGGGGTTAAGTGTCTTGCCCAAGGACACAACGACAGCAGTCATCAGTGGGAGTCAGTGGAGAAGGTGTAGAGGTGGGAAAACTATTTATTTAAATTCTCAATTAAATTCTCAATGATAATTTACATCCCTTAAAAAAGGGATGTAATAAACTTTAATTACTGAAAACAAATAAAAAGATGAAATTAAAGAAAATGTAATCGTAGGGTTGTATTTGGACAATAAAATGCCTGATCCAGTAATATCTAAAAAGTGGAGGGAAATTCCAAGTGCATTTCTATTTCTATGTTTAGAACAAAACAAGTAGTATACATATTATAAGCAATATTCACCAATAACAAATCAGAGGTTTGATGTGAGGTTTATGAGGCAGCAATCAAAAAGGTCAAAAACATTCATTTCCCATCCATCATTCAGAGCAGGGACATTTCCTTCTTGAATGAAAACTGCGTAGTCATTCCTCCGTAAGCATTAGTCATTTTTCTAAAGAAAAACACAAGCCTGGATCTGGACCACACCATGCCAATGTTTCTCAAATCAATAATTGAATCAAATACATTAAAAGGTATTTAAAGAGAGCCTGGCAAAAAGTTGTGTTCATTTTGAAAACCATTTGCTAGTTTTCTCGCGGGAGATGTGTGATTTATAATTGCCCCAATCCGTTTGTTTGTTGAGAGGAACACATTCCAATCAATTACGTCCCCTTCTCATTCTGGCCCCCAAATCCATGCGAACATTTCAGCTAGAGTTTCCAGGCTGTTGTGCAGGTCGGAATGATTAGAGCGTACCCAGCAGCATGGATATTCCTAATTTAAATCTCGTACCTGTTGTAGATTACAAAGTTTAAAGAACAGAAATTCACCAAACAAATCTAGAGGCAAAACTTTTGTTTGGACATAACGTTATAAGTTACTCACAGAGTACAGATTTGTGATCCATTTTTAGCATATCCCTATATTACAACATCTCTGAGAACTTCACAAAACTGTTGATTTGCCAACACAGATCAGAGAATCAAACAGTTCAAACACAGGAAATTCAACAATAAAAACCAGCCAGTGAGAGCCAGTGGTCCATAAGAAGCAGATGACCAATGTCCATAAATGTTAATAGATTTAAATAAATAAGGTTGAATGTCGATTTGTGGCAGTAGTTCCTGATATTAATTAGCGTGGATGGAGCTAAAGCAACTGGAGATACTGTGGCCCTGTCCACACGAAGTCAAGCTCAGGCCTAAACGCAAAAATACTTTATCAATCCAGTGTATCGTCCATACGAGGCCGGCGTTTTGGGGGGGTGTAAACGAACATTTTTGAAAGTAGGTCCCAGAGTGGAAAGATTTGAAAACTCCGTATATGCCGCTCCGTGGTTACTGCCTCTCCGCAATGTATCTGAGACGCTTGCGTCATCGCCCCGCCTCTTGTTAAAGCACGCATGCGCCGCATTTAGAAAATAATGACAACAACAATGTAGCTTGTTGGTTTTGTAATCCAGTGTGACCCGAAGCAACAGTTCAACCTCATCATCTGTCCATACTAATGTAGTACCAGCACGCCCACTCGCCATGTTGTCTGTTTACAAAATTCTGCGCATGCCCAGTTCCCGTCACGGAAGTTTGGGCTTGATCCCGTCATTGCGTCACAGCGCCACCAACAGGTCTGGCATAGTTTCACAGCGTTTTCAGGCGTATTGACTACATTCATATGGACGCACACATTTACTGAGCTAACTCCGTGTTTACAGAAAAAGTTTCTGAAATTATAAGCGTTTTGTCTTTGTGTGGATATAGCCTGTATGTTTTCAGGAGGAAACAATGCTGTAAGGTGCCCTGACTGACTTTGTAAAAAAAAAAAAAACATTGTTGGACTTACCATTGGAGTCTTATATTCTCTTTTTATAGCTTAGCTTTTTAGGATCGATCTAGATCCGATCTTACAAATATTCTATCAAAGACGCATTCGATATTGCAGTTTTTTCAGACCCCCCACACACAACACTGCAGATGCTTTGAGTTTGTGTGACCCTAAAAAAAATTAAGATTCATAGTCATTTGTAAAAAAAATAAAAATAATGAAGATTAAAATTGATCTAATTACAAAAGAATAATCAATTTTACAATTTTTATTTTCAAATTCTTCCTACAATGCATATAGACTACTGTCCTACATGCTTATTGTACAATGTGACCCCATCTTGACTAATGTTATATAATAATAATTAAAAATAACTTTTGGAGAGTCTTTACTTGACAGACGACTCCATAGGACAAAGCAGTGCCAACAGCTGCAGTGTGAATTATAATGGGTGCATTCCTGTCCCGCCTAATTAGGATTCCATTTTGGGACAGCTGCTCATCATTGCACCTCTGCCACTTATTAACACTGCACCCAAGTGGAGTGGACTTACCTAAGAATAAGTGCTGATTAAGAGCCGAGTCCTCAAGGGAAAAGGGAGTTGGATCAGGAGGAAAAAATAAAGTTATGCAAGAAAGTTACTATGGCACTTGTTGATCCAAATCTATCTCCTTTGTGTTGCATTCGATTAAAAGACAAAAAACACTGTTAACAACCATGTAACTGTTTATGTTGCTTGATTTTAATTTCAATAAAAACTTGGAAATAATACAATTGTTGCTCTCACAATGGGCCAAATAACTCACTTCTCTTAAGTTGTACAATCCCACTTTTCACCGTTATTCCCCCACACCTGGCTCATACAGCAAATGATAATAGTTGTTGTCTTGTTGGCACAGTGAATTAATGTTCTGCACTGCACAGCCTCAGTCCCCGTCGTACAATCCTGAATCTTTAGCCTGTCTGTCTGTGGGTGTGGACCCCTCGGTTGATGTGGACCTCCCCAACGTTTCCCACCTTTTTCTCTCTGTTTTTTTTTGAGTCGTTCCTTGCCAATGCAGGAGGGACTAAAGACAAAGTCAGATTCAGATTCACTTAATTTTCCATTGGTATTAGTATTATCCTAATAGTAGCTAATTAGGTTTGGGGTTGGGGTCAGTTATTCTACAATGGTGTTTGCGCTGGAAACTTCTCAATATCTAAATATCTACCATACTGTTTTTGTGCTATACACAAATACATCAAAATGCTTTTGAATCTCTGTTGGTTCTAATCTATCTCATTGATCTAGGCATTAATCTAGGCTACACTCATATGAACTTTTTGTATTGTCAACATTCACTCATGTGTGAACACAAGTGAATTTGGCAAGTATCTAATAAAACTGTACATAAACTGTAAGTAACTTTATCTACTTTTGAAGTAAATGCTTGTGAAATGGTCCCTTTACCATTTGATATTAGCACTGGCTAGAAATAATCTCTATTTTTGAAAGCATCTATGGTTGATGCATTTATCTAATTCTATTTTTACACTATTTTTTAACTCCAAAGCTCGTTTGCAGCTTCAGCAAAGGCATATTCCTAATTTGTGACTTCTGTCACTTTTAATATCTCTAACATTACTCTGATTCTAATATTATAGCTGATCTATCAAAAGGATAACATTGTAGGGTACTATTTTAACTCTTACGTGGAAATGTGTTTATGAACAACAAAGAAAGGAC